AGTTGGGTCATTGGGGAGATGCCTGAAGGGGACTTTGGGGACCCTAGCTCCCTTCCTTTCTCTCTCTGCTTCTGAGTCATCAGGAAATGACAAAAAAAATAAAAGTCTACACATGTTTAGTTTGCTTCTCTTTGCTCCATCACATGCTCCCTTGCCATGGCGTTCTGCCCACAGGCTAAAAAAACCAAGAAGCCAATTGACCACATACTGAAACCTCCAAAACTATAAGCCACAAGAAATCTTTGCTACTTTTGATTTTTTTCAGATATTTTGGCACAGCAATGGAAACCTGGCTAACACAGTTGGGAAGGATTCTGAGGTCTAATCCTGGCTAAAGAGGAAACAGTTCCAATACTAGTTAGTATTGTCTGTCTTAAACAAGGGAGAGGGAGTTAGTAGCAATAAATACTTGCTTTGCCACATGTGTATGCTGCTTTTAGCACTTCAGAACTTTATATGTGAAAGTAAATAATACCAAAAAGGAAAAAAATGGCTATGAATGAATTAGTTATTTCAGAAATAAGGTCTAGAGGGTATGTGGTTAAGTGGCAGAGCACTAGCTTGGCATGTATGAGGCCCTGAATTCAATCCCCAGCACTGAGAAAGAAAGCAAGTCTTGCTAATGTTGTCCAGGCTGACCTCAAACTTCTAGACTCAAGCAATCCTTCTGCCTCAGTCTCCTGAGTAGCTAGAACTACAGAGCATGCCACTGCATCTGGCTAAATTTCAACTTTAAATTGAAATTGGTGTGGTGGCACATATCTGTAATCCCAGCTACTCAGGAGGCTGAGGCAGAATTGAAAGTCCAAGGTCAGTCTGGGAAACTTAGCAAGACCAGGTTCCAAAATGAAAAGTAGAAAGGGCTGGGGATGTAGCTCAAAGGTAAAATGTCTATGAGTGAAATCCCCAGTACTAAAAATAAATAACTACAGTGCTTCCAAAAGCATAATAAATCCAAAGAACAAGGCCTAGCCATGATAATTTGCCTAAGTAATATTAATAATTTTTAAGTTACTATCTAAATTGTTAGAAGATCTGCAGAAGTTTAGAAAAATTTGAGAAGACATGGGGGAATATTACAAAAGTTAACACCTAGTACTTAACATATACCAAATGATATTTTAAACTTTTTAAACAGACAAGTGGAGTACCCCTCATCAGAATTTCCAAAATGCAAATCACCATTCCAAATTTGACACTGAAGACCAACATGACGCCACAAGTAGAAAATTCTAAATTCTACCATGATCTAACATGATGGGGGTCAGTCTGTCAAGTCAAGGACATTCTAAAAATAATATATAAAATTACCTACAGGGTAAATGTATAAGCTGTATATGAAACATAAGTCTAAATATGATATAACACAAAATTCATTTAAGTTCCATCCCCAAGGTGTCTCTTTATATATACGCAAATGTTTCAAAATTTGGAGAAATACTTCTGGTCCCAGATATTCTGGATAAAGGACACCCAACCTACACTTCTGTACTAATAAATTCAATCCTTACAACAGCATTATTATTCCAATTTTTTAGACAAGGAAATTAAGGCACACAAAGCTTAATACTGTGCCCAAATTCATTCAGCTCATAAAGCTGAGGCAATCTGGCTCTATAACATATATTTTTTTTTTTTTTGGTGGGGAGGGGCATACCAGGGGTTGAACTCAGGGGCACCCAACCACTGAACCAAATCCCCAGCTCTATTTTGTATTTTTTATTTAGAGACAGGGTCTCATTGAGTTGCTGAGTACCTCRCTGTTGCTGAGATTAGCTTTGAACTTGCAATCCTTCCACCTCAGCCTCCCAAACTGCTGGGATTACAGGCATGCGTCACCACACAGGCTAAAATGTACACTTAATTAAAGAGGTAAGCAACCTAATGTCGAATTTCAACATTTTATCTCATTCCACAAATTTCCACTATCATCAATGAAAGGGGAAAAAAATCTGTTCCACATATCCAGTTTCCACCATGAGACTGAGGAGTAAAAGGAGTAAAATTCTAAATCTGATCTCACTGGCAGATGGTATCCACCAGTTTAAACTGAAAGTTTAAATTTGATATATTAAAGACAATTCAGGAGTACCAATGTATAAAAAAAAAAAAAAGTGTGAGGCTTACAAAGGCAGTTAAGACTACCAGTAAAATGGTATTGGACTTAAGCAACTTTTTTTTTTTAATCTTTTGAACACTTTTTTTTCCACTGTCTGTAAGCAAGAAAATTGACAACATCAAAAATCAATATAGTGTGTAATCCCAGCAGCTTACAAGGGTGAGGCAGGAGGATCATAAGTTCAAAGCCAGCCTCAGCAACTTAGCAAGTCCCTAGGTAACTTAGCAAGACCCTGTCTCAAAATAAAAAGGGCTGGAGATGTAGTTCAGTGGTTAAGGACCCCTTGGTTCAATATCTGGTACAAAAAAAAAAGTAATATACATACAAAATTATAATTTTATGTTAAAGAGAAAATTTCTAGTATTGGTAACAGTTGTCTGCCAACTTCCAGCTGACATATCACTCCACCCCCTTGACAGGCCCCTGAAATAGAGAATATCAAAAAAAAAAAAAAAAAAAAGTAGTCCTGTTCAGATAGTATTCTCAGAGATTCTAGTGCCATGGTCAAAACTTCAGGGAAACAACTGGACATTAATTGGTGTGTTTTTTGTCACAGTGTGTGTCAAATGCAGGTGTACCACAGTCTTCACAGCCTGAGTTTCAGCAATGCTGTTCCTATACAACCATTTAAAGTGCTTGCTGGGTGTCCACTGACTGATGGGTGTCATATAGGCATTGGTCAAGGTTCATGTAGTTGTCCAGGCATCTCATGTTTAGCAGCGGTCACTTTTTCTCTATGCATCTTCCTTTTCTGCAAGGTAGCAGACCTTTTTGATAAGTTCCATATTGCTCAAGTTCAGTACTATTCTCCATTTGACTTGGTTTCCATCTCCTCCTCTGAGCCTTCTCTTGTGTATATCTAGTTCCTATTGCCATGTGGATGCTGCCCATACCTTTTTTAATGTGAATAACCTCTGTAGGAGTCCTGAGAGACCATGTAATAGTCAAAGAACTATTATATAGCTTCCTTATAAGAGCTCTGAGGAAGAACCAAAGGAGGGAGGGAGTACCATGGGGAACTGAAATAGTATTCTATGGCCTTCCTATAGTTCTGGTGGCTTTATATCCAAGGCACTGCTGGATATTAATGTTGTCAGTATCTTGCATATACCAAAACAGAATGCCAAGACTACCAAGAATACCAAGAACCTTTTGCTATTGATGCCTTTGCTGCCATCTCTCATGATAAAAATCCATATGGGAACTGAAACTTGTGGGCATGCAGCTTCTGGGCTGTGGGCAAGCAGGGACTTATTTTTCAGTGAATATGGGATTAAGGAGTAGGGGTATGGACAATGACCCTGAAAACATTTGTGTCTCTGCTTAAATGCAAAGGAAGCTCATGTGGCTCTTATCTAGCTACCTTACACAATGAGTATTTTTGTTTCTGAATCTAATCCCAGCTTTTCATTGGTCCAATGTATCTTTAGACTTTTAACACTGTTATACAGGTATTTCTCAACCATAGTGAACAAGACTAAAGATTTATAAATAATAAACTTATGTAAGCCTCAAGACCCAAAAAATTTGACACAAAAAGATAAGTCAGTCAGACATGGGGATGTGCATCTGCTAGTCCTATCATTCCAGAGGTTGAAGTAAGAGGAGCCCTTGAGTTCAAGCAGGAATTTGAAACAAGCCTATGCAACATAGCTAGACCCCATCTCAAAAAAAAAAAAAAAAAAAAAAACAAGTAATCACAGCCTGGTGTGATGGCACACACCTGTAATCCCAGCTACCCAGGAGACTAAGGGAGGAGAATCTCAAGTATGAAGCCAACCTGGGCAACTTAGGGAGACCCCATTCTCAAAATAAAAGGAAAATAAGAACAAGTACAAATTTATTAATCAGAATCCTTCAACACATCTAAAAGAGAATATACCTGATGGCTAATACCTAGGATTTGAATAACTTTCTATGACAAATTATTTTATTAGCTGATATGGGTTACCCAATAAACAAATGATACTGATCTGTTCAATTTTTATCAGTGTGTTAATTCAGCACTTCTTAAAGCATGCATGCCCCTGATACCCAATATCTTTCAGGATGTTAATAACTTTCTTTCATAAGACATTTACCATCCTCACTCTCATTCTTTCAAAGTATACAGTATTGTTTGGGAAGCTACCTGACATATGATAATGTCATTATACTGATGTTTAACACGATGTCCACCAGATATTCTTGTGTTCTAAAAATTTTAAGTTTGAATATTGTAAATACTGATAAATATAAATAAAACATTAAAATAAAAGCTGTTGTATTACTCAGTAACTTTTCAGAGTTATAAAAAATTGCTAAGAAAAAAATGAGAACTATGAATCTGCTACTTTAAAATCAAACCCATTTTCTAGAGTTTAAGAGCATCAAGTGAATTTTTAAAGATGATTTTAGAAAAATCATCAAATATATTAGAAAAACCATCATATATATATATATATATATATATATATATATATATCTCAAATACATACATTTTCTTTTAGCAAATCTAAGATACTGAGTTCAATAATGAACAACTTAATAGCAAAAAGGGGATAACAATTAATAGACATTTATTAAGAACTATGAAAACATGAGCAATTAAGTAATAAGTAGCTTAAAATAAGAAATTTGCAACCCTTCAATTTCAAACATTTCTTTAAAAAACTAAGGGAAAGCCCTGACCCTACATCAATTAATCAAAAATCTCTTGTAGCCCTTTTGTGTAGTCAAAAATGAGAATTCTTAAGAAAAGAAACAAACAAAAATAGCTCTAAAGAAAGTTTCCAAGTAAACCAAATAATAGCTCAAAGAAAGAAAAGTAGTTTTAAAAAATATTTTCTTAAGTGCATTTAACATTCCTTTTCAAAGGAAAAATTTAGAAAAAGATATGTACCTGAAAATGGCTGGATTGCAGACATGCTTTGGATCCAATGCTTCTCCCTGTATAAATTCATAGCATAGTCCATTGTTGAAGGTACAATAGAGTTGTGGTGCACAGCCATGGGCCTGCAACACTCGAAAACTCTTCACTTCTTCATCTCGATCAACTAACAACTCAGTTTTATTGCCATAAATTCTCACCAGGACTACGTCTTCCATGGTATTACCCACGTAACAGCCAATAAGTTTATTTGTGATTCCATCTGTGAAGAGCTGTCAGAAAAAGAAAAACATGGGGGGGAAAAACAATTACATGTTTTATAAAATGCAATGCAAGAGAACCTGAATATAACGAGTAAATAAAAAGAAAAACAAAACACTAGGGGTTGGAGGCATAGCTCAGTGGTAGAGCAGGTACTTTGCAAGTGTAAGATGCTGGGTTCAATATCCAGCACCCAGGAGGGAAAAAGAAAAACACCTACTTCTTGATATAAAAGAATCTTTGGGTCTGACAATGTATTTGGCAGATTTTTTGATACCCTGACTCAAAAAAAAAAAAAAAAATTGAGTACAATGGTACACACCTATAGTCCCAGCTATTCAGGAGGCTCAAGCAGGAGGATCACTTGAGCCCAAGGATTCAAAGCTAGCCTGGGCAACATAGCAAGACCCCACTTCAATCAACCAAACTGTATTGAAAAGCATGTTGTTTTTATTACAATGCCATATCAATTCACACATGCTATTCTGTAACTTCTTCATGCATCATATAGAAAAAATATTTTAACTATTGTTATAAAGACTGAGAACTATTTAACATTTTGAAATGCTTATCATAAATGACAGTCTAGATCCTCAAATACAAGAAATTTCCAAGTTTTCTATATCTTCACAGCAAATAGTAGGTCCTTAATAAACACTAGAAGCCACAGTTATCAACATTAATGTCTTCATCTACCTTATAAAAATTACATGTTCATCAAATGTTTCAGGCAGTAATAGTTCAGAGGATGAGTTGCAGATCCAGACCATTTGAGACTGAATGCCAGCTCTGCTACATACAAACTGAGTAACCTCAGACAAGCCACTTGACCTCTATGTATGCCATCTCCTCATATGTAAAATCTGTATATTAGACTCTACTTTGTAGCACTGATTCAAAGATTAATGAGTTAATATACATGAAAGCACTTAGAACAGTGCTCCACACAAAGAAAGCTCTTAAACATAGCTAACTACATACTAAGATTTTTAACACGATTGTAAAGAAATTCATGATGAAATCATAAAGCAGTGATAATATTAAGACAAACTCAATATTACAACAATATTTGAAAACAATTATTTCCAAAATATTTCTCTAAAGAAAGTTTAAATCCATGCACCAGGCCCTGGGTTTAATCGATTACCTAGCACCACAAAAAAGGTGGGGGGAGCTTATATCAACATAATCAATAAATATTAATTATTATTGCTTCTGAGAAAATTCTTTTCATACCTAAAGAAGTAAAAAGCCTTTATTCTCAAAATGCCATTCAACATTGTCCTCTCAAATTAGTGCTATCTTATATATATTTGGTTTTGTAAGGCTAGTTATATTTTTAAACTTTAATCCCTAAAATTCATATTACTAGTCAGTGAATTTTGCTCCTAATCACCTCTAATCCTTAGTTTAAAAAATTTTTTAAATGGGGTCTCACTATGTTGCCCAGATGGGTCTGAAACTACAGGGCTCAGATAATACTCCCTCCTCAGCCTCTGAGTAGGTGGGAACTACAGGTACACCCACTGTGCCTAGCCTTAGTTAAAATATTAACAACATTTAAATACCAGGTAAATAATGTATTCTAAATTTGTTCTCTGTTTTATCTTATCACATATTTTTTTAAATAACATGTACATTTGTTAAAAACAGAATTTAAACTTAACTTTTTACAGACTCCAAAAAACGAGAGTACCTTTAAATTTGTTATTTTTTTTTTGCTTAATATTAATACAGGTATCACTTACTATGAAAACTGGCAATTAAAATCAATTAAGAATTTATCCTCACCAGGCCTGATGGCATACCTTTAACCCAGCCTACTCAGCCTGCTGTTGCAGGAGGATCCCAGATCCGAGGCCAGCCTCAACAACTTAGTGAGACCCTGTCTTAAAAATTTTTTTTAAAATGTTGAAATGGGCTGGGATGTAGCTCAGTAGAAGAGTGCTTGCCCTAGAATATGCGAGGTCCTGGGTTCAATCTCCAGTACTCCTCTAACTTTTTTAAAATAAAAAAGTATCCTGCATTTTCTATGAACTATACTTCATAATATCCATGTAGCCCTAATTTATAAGAAGAGTTCTCTAACAAAGAATACCAACCGACAAATGTGGAAGAAATAACAGAAGCAGAAAAATCAATATTTTACAATGAAAACATTTTGTTTCCAATGAAACAACTGTTCAGGCAACAATCTTTAATCTTTAATTGTCTTTAGACAAAAGACTGATAGGGAACTTTATGATAGGAAACGTCACCTCCTGAACTCACTAAACAAACATGTCACACTGCTTCACATGATACAAATACGAAATACACTGTACATCCATGACCTGGAATTGAATCAAGCTTCTAGATCTTTGGGGATTTGGGGCAAATATACAGATTAAGGAAACACCACAAAGAATCACAACAAAAAACATACAAATCCAGAATGTAGATCTGGCTATGCAAATGAATCACCAATAGTTAAAGGCATAAGCTAGAAACATAAAGAAGCTTAAGAAACATTAACAACCAAAGAAATGTATAGACTTAGTTTGTTTTCTGATTCAAACAAGTAAGTGCCAAAATATTTTTGAGGTAACTGGGGAGATTTGATTATGGACTGCCTACTAAAGGATGCCTAGAAATTATTGCTAATTTTTTTCAGTGTGACACAATAGCACTGTGATTTTGTAAGAAAACACCTAAGTTTTGTTGTTGTTGTTGTTGTTTGTTTCTTTTTCTTTTTTTTTTTTTTTTTTTAAACTCTGGGCCTCCCAAATGCTAGGCAGGTACCCTACTACTGAGCTACATCCCAAGCCATCTGTTTTTACTCTTATTTCAACAGATGCAGAAAAAAGATTTGACAAAATAAGCACCCTTTCATGTTCAAAACACTAGAAAAACTAGGGATAGTAGCAACATACCTCAACACTGTAAAAGCTATATGTAAACCCAAAGCCAGTATCATTATAAATGGAAAAAAAAAAAAATGGAAGCATTCCCTCTAAAAACTGGAACAAGACAGGGATGTCCTCTTTCACCAATTCTATTTAATATGATTCTTGAAACTCTGGCCAGAGCAATTAGACAAAAGAAATTAAAGGGATATGAATATGAACAGAAAAACAAAAACTCAAACTATCATTATTTGCCCAGGACATGATTCTATACTTACAGGATCCAAAAAATTTCCACCAGAAAACTTCGATTTAATAAATGAATTCAGCAAAGTAGCAGGATGTAAAATCAATATCCATAAATCAAACACATTTTTATACATCATTGATGAATCCTCTCAAAGAGAAATTAGGAAAGCCACCGCATTCACAACAGCCTCAAAAAAATAAAATAAAACACTTGGGAATCAATTTAACAAAAGAGGATGAAAGACCTCTACAAGGAAAACTACAGAACACAAAAGAAAGAAATTGAACAAGACTTACAGTGATGCAACAACATCAATGTTTATAGCAATACAATTCAATTTATACATCAATGTTTATAGCAATAAAATTTACAATAGCTAAATTGTGAAACCAACCTAGACGCCCTTCAGAAGAAGGAATGGATAAAGAAAATGTGGTATACATACAGAATGGAATATTATTCAGCATTAAAAGAAAATAAAATCATGGCATTTGCAAGTAAATGAATTGGATTATATAATGCTAAGTCAATTTAGCCAATCCCAAAAAAACAAATGCCAAATGTTTTCTCTGATTTAAGGATGCTGATTCACAATGGGGGTGTGGGGGGGGAGATTAGTTGAATTCTAGATAGGGCAAAGGGGAAAAGGGGGGGAGAGGAGAATGGAGGAGGCAAGGGGGTAGGTAAGACAGTGGAATGAGATGGACATCATTACCCTCAGTACATGTATGAAGACACAAATGGTGTGATTCTACTTTGCATACAACCAGAGATATAAAAATTATGCTCTATATATGTAATATGAATTGCAATGCATTCTGCTGTCATACATATATAACAAATTAAAATTTAAAAATCTAAAAATTGAAAATTAAATCTGAGTTTTTTGTTTGTTTTGTGTTTGTTTTTGGTGGTACTAGAGATGGAACTCTGGGCCCCCCACATGCTACACAGGCACCCTACTACTACTATGGTACATCCCCAGCCCTTTGTTTTTATTTTTTACAAATGAATATTAGAATACAGGAAGGCAGTTACTTGGGATCTGAGCTTTGCTTTAAAATACTTCAAATGGGCAGGTGAGGTGGTGCACACCTGAATTCCAGCGGCTCAGGAGGCTGAGACAGGAGGATGGGGAGTTCAAAGCCAGCCTCAGCAACAGTGAGGTGCTAAACAACTCAGTGAGACCCTGTCTATAAATAAAATATAAAATAAGGCTGTGGATATGGCTCAGTGTCCCTGAGTTCAATCCTTGGTACCAAAATAAAAATAAAAATAAAATACTTCAAATGGGTTAAAAAAACAAATGAATCAAATGTGGATTTTGGATAATGAGTATATGAATATTCAATTCATTCTCTCTGAGCATATTAGGAAATTATATTTTTAACTTTTATGATATAACTAATCAAAGCAGTGAGAAATTCCTTAAAATTTCCATTGGAGAATTACGTAATATAGCAATAAGTTCATAAGCATAAGTATAGATTCCTAAACAAATAAATAAAACATGAAGATAGATTAAAAAAGCAAGAGAAAAAAAGTTAAAAGATCCAAGTGGTAAGAAACTGAAAAATAGATTTGGCAATACATCCCACTTACTTTTACACACTAATTTCTTTCTCCTTCCCTTCCCAGCCAAGTTTCTTGAAAGAGATTTTATATTCAATGCTTCTGCTTTCAAAGCTACCATCTGTTTTTTTGTTTTGGTATGTGGCACATGGTTTTAAAAAGTTAACTAGCACTGAAAGTTTGATAGTAATCAACAGTGGAACTAATTCAAACTATTTTCAACTCCCATAGTATTTAACTCCTATTTTTAGATATCGTTCTTAAATTGCTTTTTTATATCAAAGTCTATACATTATTTAAGGGA